ATGCGTACACGTTCTCGTGTGTGTATTTGGGGTGGGGGGGCGCATGTGTATATTCGTTTGAACGTGTATCAATCTATTCATAAATACCTCTCTTGTTTTTTTACCACATTCTATCTATCTATCTATCTATCTATCTATCTATCTATCTATCTATCTATACATTCTGCATTTGTTACATATCTGTCTATTTATCTATAGAAGGTGCGATGGGTAAACTGTCGCCATTATATATTTTTAATTTCGCGCATGCGCCTTGTTTTTGTTTTTTTCGATTTTATCAACTCCACAGTATAAGTAGGGTCAATTGGGCACCGTCTGTGAGAAAAAAAGAGCACCGTGACGTAATTCACTTCTCCAGAAATTTGGAAGCGGCATGCTGCACTGATTGGCATTCGCGCCGGAATATCTGATATAAACGTATGTGTTTGAGTGTCAATTTGAGGACAATGCAAAGTTGGATAATTTTAATGGTGATTATGAAGGTGTTTGGAGTGATTCATCTTCCTACGGGGTCTCTGACTCAACACATAGGAGGTAGTGCTCCCCTGGATAAAGGAGGTGGCTACTAGAAGATCCTATGTCTGGCAACAGGTTTTGCAACATGCCACACAAACAGGAGAACCCAATCATAGCTGTCAGATAATTTTTACGACCACCTAACCCTTTATATCTGGCCACCTAACTCCTCAGTCCGCAAACCTGTTGATTATTATTGTGGGTGCAGATGAGCGAGAGACTAACAAACCCTTTGTAGCAGCAAAGACGAACTGAAGATAAGGATTTTGGTAGCATTAACTTAAACAACGAGACCGACCCCAAAAGTTGCAGTAAATCGTTATCTATCTATCTATCTATCTATCTATCTCAATCTCTTGATTATCTATCTATCTGTCACAGTCGTTTCATATCTATCTATCTATCTATCTATCTATCTATCTATCTATCTATCTCAATCTCTTGATTATCTATCTATCTATCTATCTATCTATCTATCTATCTCAATCTCTTGATTATCTATCTATCTATCTATCTATCTATCTATTTATCTATCTATCTAACTATCTATCTGTCACAGTCGTTTCATATCTATCTATCTATCTATCTATCTATCTATCTATCTATCTATCTATCTATCTATCTACAGGGTGCAATAAATAAATTGTTGTCTAAATTATGCAAAAAATGAAAATAACACTGACATCTCATTTTAACAGATATATCTGCCAAAATTACACAAAAAGATCTTGAAATACTAAAAAGCAAATGTATTCAATAAAATCGACATTGACTTCAAACAAGACCACCAGAAGTCTTCTGAATCTTCTGAATCTCTTCTGGACGGTCTCCTTGTTTACGTTGGTGAATGTTGCCATAATCCTTGTCATCAGTTCATCTTTGGTGTTACAGACGGTGCCCAACTGACCCTACTATACTGTGCAGACGACATAATATCAACAAAACATTAGTGGGCGAAATAAAAAATATAAAATGACGACAATTTATCCATCGCAAACTGTTTTATGCATTTGTTTGCCTATCTATCTATCTGTTCATATATATATATATATATATATATATATATATATATATATATATATATATATATATATAGTGATTTTCCAACTGTAGCTAGGATGTGGCACAGACCCGAAAACAGAGGACACCTAGTGAGGATCGAACTCACTACTCAGGGGTAATTGTTCTAGCCAGACAAACTTGCTAATCATTACACCGCCTTGAGGTGCCCCTATTTCTGTGTGTGTGTGTATATATATATATATATATATATATATATATATATATATATATATATATATATATATATATATATGTGTGTGTATATATATATATATATATATGTATGTATATATCTCCTGTTTATATATTTATTTATATATATATATTTTTATTTAGTTATATATATATATATATATATATATATATATATATATATATATACATATATGTACATCACACGTCGGTTATCTATCTATCTATGTATTTGTTCATCACGCGTCCTATGTTATCTATGTGTCTCAGTTTGTTCATATTTCTCTTTGTCTCTCAGTCTCTCCCTCTCGCTCCCTCTATATATTTTTTTCATTTGTTATCTATCTATCTATCTATCTATATATATATATATATATATATATATATATATATATATATATATATACGTCGGTTTTCTAGCTCTCTCTATGCATACTTCTTGCGTCTGTTATCATATTCATAACACAGTATCATCTGTTCATATTCATCTATCTATCTATCTATCTATCTATCTATCTATCTATCTATCTATCTATCTCAGTCCTTTTCTATCTATCTATCTATCTATCTATCTATCTATCTATACAGTCTGCATCTGGTATTTGAGAGCACACATTTAGTGGTTTATAAGTACATATAGTTCAAACGTAATGAGCAGAAATATGTGAATAGAATTGATACATATATAAATCGTCGTCACAAAATAAAACACACATGGCCTGAAGATCGCGTTCATGCACGAAAGAGATTCTCCCTCGGTGTCTGCACACGCATATAGATCCTCTCTCACTTTCCACACACACACACATGCTGTATTCGACTATCTATTAACTAGCTAGCTTGATAGATATATTCATACGTAATAATAAAAAAAAATGCCTCAATTTAATTTTTAAAAATATACACAGACTTTAAACGGAAGGAGCGGGGACTTATCTATAAGGTACTCTTCTGCCCAACTGACCAATAGAAGTAAAAAAAGAAGAAAAAATATTAAAAAAAAAACATACAACAGTAAAACACATTAACATCAAATCCATAAAACAACAGTGGTACTTATGCCCATCCCCTCAAAAATAATGAAATCCATATATATACACCTATACAGGGCGTTGGTAGAAGCCCATTAGGAACTGATACCAAGAAAATACTTTAATAATTTGTTTATAATAGCAATACAGAATTTACTGTGAATTTAATAAATATGTCCTATTATAGTTTTAAATGAGAACAAAGAAATAATTTTTTACATATCAAAACAAAAAAGAAATACTCTTTAGTCTTAGTCTTACCAAAGGGTGGCGGGTCTATTTGGCATCTATTTGTATTGTATTTATACCGTTCAACAGATACATGGGCGCTTTATTATTTTTATATTGAACATTAAAACGAGGCTATGTAGCAGCAGTATATATATATATATATATATATATATATATATATATATATATATATATATATATATATATATATATATATCCCGTGACCTGTAGGGTTGTAGGGACACCATGTAGCCACAGTAGTGTTTCCTGGGCAAGATAGACTGACGGAGCCCAACCCTCTCCAGGCCTGTTTTAAATTCGGAATTTTTATTTCTCCCAGATCGGTTGCCACCTAAGGTTATGCAACCCACTCTGTCCTGGAGAAGAAGAGGATTCATATCTTTCTCAAGAGAATTAGCACGTAAGTGAATGTAATGGATCCGCTTGGAATTCGAACTCAGCGCTCTAATTCTTAGATTTGGTCATTAAATAACCCATAGAGGTGTTGATATGCCACTAAACATATTCAACCACTCATCCTCAACGTCCTTTTCACTTCTCAAAATGATTTTTCCTGATGACCATCAACTTCCTCTTTCGCTCTCCTTGATCTCATCCACGGACTGATTTCTCTCTTTCAAGGGCGATCCCAGCTTTATCTACTCAATCCGGGCCGCTATCCATTACTCCACATCCATATATACATATTATATAATATATATATTATATGATATAATTAATAATAACGAGATATAAACTTTTAGAACATTGAAAGAATGGGTCACTATTCCTAGTTACATTTGTCTATTTTTTTTTGTTCTTTTTCTTTTTCTTCTTCTTTTTCTTCTTCTTCTTCTTCTTCTTCTTCTTCTCATTATTATTATTATTATTATTATTATTATTATTATTATCATCATCATCATCACCGCCATTATTATTATTAGACCATTGTGCTTATTTGGTATGTAGATTTCAGCTCTGCAAGTTGGCTACACCAAGAAGGTGCATAGGCAATATTGAATCATGTGAAGTGTATTTGGCCAAATGACTCACAACACAAACAACAAAGATGGATGTCCTTGCAAACCCGTTTGTGGGTTAAAACTTTCAGATAGGGAAAAGCCACCAAAGACGAAAGATAAAGAATATCTATTCAGATTAAAATTGGTCGGGAAGAAAAGAATATGATTCTTGTCCGGAAAGTATCTTTCCAATTTAAATAATAATATTCTTGAAGTATCGTGCAAGCTTCTTGGCATAAATACCAAATCAGCCGTCACCTCCAAACTCTTTCTACTTCTTCTTCTCCTCCTCCATCAATCGCATCACCCATGTCTCTTAAACCCCTTCTTTGCATTGACCACCCAGGTCTGCTGACACACTCCTACCATCTTATCATTCATCTCTGCCAAATCCAAACCTATGATCGCATCACCCAGATCTGTCAGATACACTCCTATCATTACTCATCGGATTTGCAAACTATATCTTTTTGATTTCTATGAAGCTGGGATCGCCCTTATAAGAGAGAAATTAGACCGTGGACGAGATCAAAGAGAACACTAAGCGGAAGCTGATGGTAATCTCGAAAAATCATATTGAGAAGTGAAAAAGACGTTGAGGTTGAGTAGTTGTGCTATAAACATATATTTTTATATACTTTCATTGCGTTTTGTTTTAGTTTGAAGGTTCGCTATTTGCCCATAGCTAGGACCCTAACAGATGCTAACAGCCTGGTCCAGGCTGGACCTGGACAAGAGCAAATAAGAGGTGGTTCAACGCTCCCAATAACCTCCAATCTTCCGATAAGTGGCTTTGCTGCTTGATGTAGTTTATCGTCATAACCAAGTCTAAATACGTGGTAGGCATCAGGATTTTGTTCAATCGGACGTGAGAATAGTTTCGCAACAGCAAAACTAACTTTAGCATTAGTGATCAGACTTCTTCATTAGGAAATGTGACCAAAAACAGTTACTAAAATATCCTACTGCGTTGTGATAAGGACTCTTATGGAGAAAGTAGTCAGATGTTAAAATGAAATTTGAAAAATACTCGATACATAAACGAAGATGAAAAAACTACGATTTCGGAGAAAAATCTTTGGCATGCATTTTTCATGAATAATATCCTGTCTTTCTTATCTCGTGAATATAATTAAAAAAAAATTAAACCTGTGAGATGAACGAAACAATGTGGTAAATAAGAAAAAGAATATTGAATATGAGTTTAAAATCCTTACATATATACCTATTCTAATAATGAAACGTGGTTGAGTGTTTCGAACGTTAGCGTTCTGGCCATGTGATTCGGGTTCGAATCTTACTATGGTCGATTAATCATGAACGTGACTGGAGGGGTCAATACCAATTTGTAGCACCTTTGGAAAAAGCCTGAAAACCACACCAAGGGTTGACCCAAGCCTTGTGAATGAAATTGGGTAGAGGGAACCCTTGGAGGACGTCGAAGCTGTGCTAGCACGAGGTCTTGCCGAGGGCGTAAGCGTTCTGGCCTTGTTCTGATTGTTGATCACGCTAGATAACACACTCGTTCCCATAAACTGTAACTAAGGTCTGCTCAGTATACTTACAGTATCAACAGGTGGACTCTGTTGGTGTTGAATAAATACAAATGTGCATGAGCAAGCATCTGCAACAGGGATTGTATAGCCGCCCTAATAGACGGGTATCCTCGAATACGTGTGGCCAGCTATACAATAATGAAAAACTTATTTAGGATTGCGTATCTGAACATTTTGTCTCTTGAATATAACAAATTTAATTTAATCAGTCACTGATCGACGCTACTTTGATATTCTATATATCGATTATTTGATGGCATTTATTATTCCGATTGAATTGTCACGCCAAAATGACTTGATGACATTTGCTCGGTTACAAGCAAAATAAATTCAACACTGTGTTCCATTCTTCTTCTCAATATGCTATATTCTTCTTCTTTCTTTTTCATCTTCTTGTTATGAATTAGTTCTATTATTATTATTATTATTATTATTATTATTATTATTTTTTTTTTTTTTTTTTCCTTTGTTTACTGGTGCATACTCATTTCTTTTCGGGTCACGACCAGAGACCTAAAGTCAGAAATGGCGTCCTGACATATTCCACTGAGCAACGAAGAAAAAAAAAATAATTCACGTATTTTACATAGAAAAAAAGCCCTTCGTAAGGTGAATGCTGCACTCGTGAGTATAACTTTATTGCATTTCTTTAAGGTATTGTCTACCATGAATCTCTTCAATGAGTCTATTGGAATCTTTTCCAGTCAATCCGAGTGCTCCAACTTCAACAGGGATTGCTGATGTTTTCATGTGCCACAGTTTTGAGATTTCGATTTCGGTATTTTGATAGCTTTTTGAAGATCTTCAAAGTTACATAGCAGTCTGCATTGACTGCTATATCAGTATTATTATTATTGTTATTATATAGATTTATTAGGTTCTAAATACAATAAATCACATCAGAATTTCGGTCAAGCAGAAATTCCAGAGAATTCATCAGATAAATTGATCGATGAAAAATCACCAGTGGGAATAATATTCCGAATTTTTCCATGGAAACTGATAATGAATTGTTTCGGGTATTCGGACAATCAGAAAAGTTGAAATATACATCAGCTTTGCAATAAAAATAACAAGAATCTTACTTATTATAAAACGCAGATTGTGTGTGTGTGTGTGTGTGTGTGTGTGTGTGTCTGTACGTTTATATATTGGATCGGATTTCCTACATTTTTCAACCGATTTCAATAAAACTTCACAGGGCTACATAAAATTATCTTGTGGTGGTTCTAACAAAATATTGGAAAAACACAATTGTTTTTGCACGAAATCAATTTGAAAACACAATAAAGAGGCATCACCAGAATGAAAGGGGGACAATTCATATCGAGTTATACTTATTATAAAACACAGGTTGTGTGTGTGTGTGTGTGTGTTCGTTTATATATGGGATCGGATTTCCTACATTTTCAACCGATTTCAACAAAACTTCACTTTTTTTTGGCAGGTAGTGTTTCTTATTGCCTTGCACACTTTTTTTTTTTTTATTTTTACATTCAGAATGCTTTAAAATTCCATTTACAAGACAATTGTTTATAATAAAATTCTATTCAATCGGTAGACTCATAACGATTGAAAACAATGTTTTTGTTTGAATTTGGGTTTGACCAATTCGTAAAAAAAAAAAAAAACTAATTAAGACATGCGTGTCCGTCAATCTTAAACAATAATCTTTATCAATTATATTTTTCAGTCTTTATGATGATCGATACTTGATCTATCTCTTACTGTTACATCCCCGAGCAACGCCGGCCTCTACTGCTAGTAGGATATATAAGATCCTTCACTTTATATTTGTGT